AATCGGGAGAGTGTCTTGCCATCGTGGGAGAACAACAAGAGCACTGGATGGGCGGCTGCAGCCCCTGACCCTAGAGACCTCTTCCTTCCTTGGGCTTCAGATTCCACAGCCGTGCAGTCAGTCACCAGTGATGCAGATCTGCTGCTTTCCTAGGCTGGCATCTGTTCTCATGTCCAAGTCCAGCACCTCAGCTTGTCTTTGGGAACCATGTCTCATCTGCCTCCCATCCAAACAGATCCAGAGGGCAGACTCCACTCTCTACCCACCTCACAGATGGGCGTATGATTCGAGTCTACCCAAGCCCGTGCTCTGTCCTCTGGGTGCTCTGACGGCTTCAGGGATGAGAGTGTGAACCGAACTAGGCCAAAGACACTCAAAGCCATGGCTTTTCGTGGAACTGAAGAGAAAGAGAAACCCTTCCCAGTAATGGATGGTGAGTGGGTGTCAGCCTGGAGTTGTGGGAGGCCCCATATGCAGTGAGAGAGACTGTGCCTGTGAATGGGGCCACCCCAGAGCCCTTAGCAGGATGGAGGGTTGGAGAGGGTCCAGGTCACATTGTGAGAGTGTGAGCCCCTGGGCCTGCCAGGTCCAAAAACACTCTTCTTTTTTTTTTATTTAAATTCAATTACCAAACATATAGTACATCATTAGTTTTTGATGTAGTGTTCAATGATTCATTAGTTGCGTATAACACCCAGGCCAAAAACACTCTTAACTTGCCTCTTGCAAGTATTAATTTACTTCCACCATTTAAAAAATATTAATTCATTTTACTTTAGTAAGTGTGTCCACTTGCCATCCAGAAAATGCTAGCTGACACATCAGGATCGACAGTCCCTGAGACTCCCCAGCACGCCATCCTCACTGGACGGGGCATAGCGGGGGGAGATAAGACAGTGAGTGGGGCCAGGTCTTAGGGAAGCTGTTCCTTCTCTGTCCCAGGAGAGGAAAACCCCAGAAGTGAGAGGGGAAGCAGCAGGAAGAAGAGGCCCTGCATGGCTAATTGGTCTGTTTGTATTTTTCTTATTTTAGGGTTCATTTTGTTAAAGTGTATTTTTACTGGGAAATTACCCATTTCCTTGAGGTTTCCAGTCTGATGCAATAGGTTTCTCTTATTTGACCTCTAATTTCTACTCTCTTTCTGTTTTTCTACAGAGTTTTCACAAATAACGAACAAATATTGATATGTTATTATTTAGTAAAGTCCATACTTTATTCAGGTTCCCTCTGTTCTGCCTTTTCCTGCTCCAGGATCCGACGCAGGGCACCACATGACATGTGGTCATCATGTCTCTTTAGGCTCTCCGTGGCTGTGACAGTCCCTCAGACTTGTCTTATTTTGATGGCTTTGGCAGTATTGAGGAGACCTGGTCAGGTATTTGGTAGAAAGTCCTGCATTCAGATTTACTGGTTTTCCTCATGATTAGACTGGGATTATGCGTTTTGAGGAAGCAGATCACAAAGGTAAGGTGCTCTGTCATCACTTTATATCAAGGGAACATGCTCTGGAGGTCACTTGTCACTTGTCCGTGTTAACACTGGTCACCTGGCTGAGGCATTGTTGGTCAGGCTTCCCCACCATGAGTTATTCTTTCCCATGTGTATCTTCCTGAGCAGGAAGACACTGTGTGGAGCCCACACACTTTAGGAGAGGGAAGTTAGTTTACCTCCCTGATGGGTGGCTGAGTGTTTACATCTGTTATTTGGAATTCTGTTAGGAGAGGCCTATTCAACCCATTTGTAAGGAAACTATGTAATCTGTTAATAAATCAAGTAATTTAAAAGATCTCAATCCCTTTGTTTTCATTGAACAATTAATGAATCAGGCAGCATCCCATCTAGAAAATACAAAGGAGCTCCTTTGAGCTACAGGGAAGGAAAGGTTTTTAAAGATGTATTTATTTATTTTGAGAGAGAGAGAGAGCACGAGAGGGGGGAGGTGCAGAGGAAGAAGCAGAGACAGAATCTCAAGCAGACTGCACTGAGCGTGCTGCCCACCGTGGGGCTCAATCTCATGACCCTGAGGTTTGCATTGGCTCCACTTTCTCTTTGATATAATTCTATCTTTGTGGGGTTTTTCTTGGTACTTCCTTACTTTCTGATACTTCAAGATTATCCTGGCTCCTATATTTACTGAGTCCTAGTATAAGCAATTTCTTCAAAGAGCCCTGGTTCCTTTTATTAGAGAATGGTATTAAAGTCTCGCCTGTGGGACCTGAATGTGCTCAGCGGACAATGCAAGGCAATATATGCCTGTATTCCCACCTATGTAAACACACCTAATTATAAGGATTTCTGTATGGAACTGTGTCCATATGAAGCTAAAAACAAGTTTATACTGCTGTCTCCAACCTGGTCCGTCACCACATGGAGATTGTGATCTTCTCCCTTTGCTGATCTGTAACTTCCTACTCTAACAGTGAGAAACCTGGCTCTCACCACCGGCCCTTTATTTAATTCATTGCTCTGTTCCAAATTACAGATGTGGTGTTTTCAGAACTGTTAGGTACCACTCTGATGGCAGAGAACTTTATCAAATAGAGTCCACTGTGTACATACAGTACATTTTTTCTTTAATCTACAGATTCCATTCATTTCCAAAGTTACTTAGGTCAGCACCTTTTGTCCTACAACCTACAGTGAGGGTTTCTTCCCCCATATGTTTCTAATACAGTTAGATTATTGTCACATTCTGTATTCCATTGAAGGGGAGGAAGAAATTTTCCTTGGTCCAAGGTTCTTACCACAGGACTAAGAATGAAATCGACATGAGACAGATTAATAGGAGAAAAAAACCCAAAATGTAATGATGTGCACATGGAGACCCAAAAATGAAACTGAGGTGTAAAGAAATGACCAAGGAAGCCAGGTTTTGTACTTTTTGGACAAAGAGAAAATATACCTGTGATGAAATCACAGGACAAGGGAAACTTAACCTTGGGAGCTTCAATTAGTAAGCAAATCTAAACAGAATTTTGGCTGGGGTAGTAAATTAGTAAAAAGTAACAAGGGTTGTTTATACAGCCTTATTGGCTCCAAGTCTCCCATCTCTGGTGACGTCGAAATCTCTTTACCTCCTGGAACAGGGACATCTTCACATGGGAGATAGATTTCCCGCTTCCAGGGGGACAGAGGAGGGTCTAAGTGTCCTCATTGCCTAGCTTGTCTCTTAAGTAACTTTTATTTAAAATGATCTATATGTCAAAGTGGCAGATTTGGGGCAGCCTGCCCTTGGCCCCTACACCATCCTGTGACACTCCCACATCCTAAACAACTTAATTTCAGCAGATTATGATTTACTTTTTGGGGTGTAAAAATGTTTGTTTGTGTTTTTTAAAGATTTTATTTTAAAGTAATTTTCACACCCAACATGGAACTTGAACTCACAACCCCAGGATCAAGAGTTGCATGCTCTCCCGACTGAGCCAGCCAGGTGCCCCAAAAGGTTTGGGTTTTCACAAATGCATAGTGGCAAGTATAAATCATTAAAATATCATGGAATTCACCCCCTGATCTTTTTATCATCTCTAGTTTTGCCTTTTCCAGAATCTCCTACAAATGGGGTCACTCAGTGTGTAAGCTTTTCAGATTGGATTCTTTCACTTAGAAAAATACATGTAAAGTTCATCCATGTCATTGTATGGGGTGATGGTTCATTTCTTCTTATTGCTGAATAGATTAACAGGAAAAAAACAAGTCAAAGTTTAATAGCATGCATATGTCCTTTATTCATGGGAGATACCCAGGAAAACGGAATAACTCCTTGAAGTGGCCCAGCCCTCACCCTAAATGCCATCTTCAGCTAAAGACCAAAAGATTTTGGGTGGTGGGAAGGCCAGTTAGGGGATGTCATCAGATGAGCACAGTAAACGAGGGTATGGTTGTTACCCAGATTTAAGTCTGTGCCTTCTCTTTTGGTAAGAGTTTCTTGAGTTTTAGTAACTCTGTTCCTATACAGAGGGAGACAGGCTTACAAATGGGGCGTTCCTTTATAAGCATACATTTCACTCGCCAAACAGCAACTTTTACCCAGTTTTCAGAGATTCTCCCATGTCTGCTGTTTCTTAAAATTAATCAGCCCAAATAACCCTTGTGCCAAAGGGGCATATTTTGCGTGGCATATTCTGCTTCCTTCACATGGATGCACTCAGTTTGCTTATGGATTCATTTAGGGAAGGACATCCTGGTTTCTTTAAGTTTGTAGCCATTATGAATAGAGCTACTGTGCATAACTGCATGTGAGTTTTTGTTTGGAAATAGTTTTTCAAAGCAGTTGTCTAAATACTAAAAGTGCAATAGTTGGATCTTAACATGAGACTTATGTAGGTTGGGAAAAAATGGCCAAAATGTCTTCTGAAGGGGCAGTTGCTGCCATTCCTCACCTTCCAGCAATTGGTATTCTTGTTTTTGGAGTTTAGTATTTGTGATACGTGCGCAGTGCTGTCTCACTGTTGTTTAAATTTGTACTTTCCTAATGATGATGTCAAACATATTTTTGTATGCTTATTTTGTATCTGTATATCTTCTTTGTCCAGGCATCTGTTCAGATCCTTACCCATTATCAATTAGGACGTCTGTTTCCTTATCATTGATTTCTGATAGTCTTTTGTATTTTTTTAATACAAATCTTTTACCAGATTTGTGCTTTGCAAATATTTCTTCCCAGTTTGTAGCTTGTCTTTTAGTTTTCCGAGCAAGGTCTTTCACAGAGCAAAAGTTTTTTTTTTTTTTTTTTTTTTAATTTTCTTTATTTATTTGACAGAGAGAGAGGGGGAACACAAGGAGGGGGAGTGGGAGAGGGAGAAGCAGGCACCCCGCTGAGCAGGGCGCCCGATGCGGGGCTCGATCCCAGGACTGTGGGATCATGACCTGAGCCGAAGTCAGACGCTTAAGGACTGAGCCACCCAGGCGCCTGCAAAAGTTTTAATTTTAGGAAGTTCATGTTACCAATTTTTTTCTTTTGTGGATTGGCTTTTGGTGTTGTGTGTTAAACCTCATCACCGAACCCAAGCCCATGTGGATTTTCTTTTGTTTTCTTTCTGTTTTTTAAAAGATTTTATTTATTTATTTGACAGAGGGAGAGAGAAAGAGAGAGAGCAAGCACAAGCAGGGGGAACAGCAGGCAGGGGAGAAGCAGGCTCCCTGCTGAGCAAGGACCCCGAAGCGGGGCTGGATCCCAGGACCCTGGGATCACGACCTGAGCCGAAGGCAGACGCTTAACCGACGGAGCCACCCAGGCGTCCCCTTTATTTTGATAGTTTTACATTTTAAATTTATCTACAATTTTGAATGAATTTTGGTGTAAGTTGTAAAGCCTGTGTCTGCATTTCACTTAATTCCGTATGGTTTCTAATTAATTGTTTCTATTTCTGGAGAAGTCGGGGATAATTGGACTCCATTTCAGTTCGAATTTCCGAAATGTAATGGATTCAGCTGGACCCCAGGACAGGTGCCTCCGCTGAACTGAGGGCACCGCATCCTGCACTGCCCCCGCCTCCCGCAGGGGGCGCCCGAGTCCCGCTCCGAGACCCCTGCGGGGCATGCGCGCTCAGCCCTTCTCCTCGGGGCGCGGACCGGCGTTCCAAAGCCGCAGAACCCACTGTGCTGACGCCCAGGCTTCGGGAGGACGTGGGGCCGCGTCCACGCTGACGGCAGCCGGGCCTCCTCAGGACCCGCTGTGGAGACCCCGGGAGGACGTGGGGCCGCGTCCACGCTGACAGGAGTCCGGCCTCGTCAAGACCCGCTGTGGAGACTCCGGGAGGACGTGGGGCCGCGTCCACGCTGACGGGAGTCCCGCCTCGTCAAGACCCGCTGTGGAGACTCCGGGAGGACGTGGGGCCGCATCCACGCTGACGGGAGTCCGGGCTGCGTCAGGACCCGCTGTGGAGACTCCGGGAGGACGTGGGGCCGCGTCCACGCTGACAGGAGTCCGGCCTCGTCAGGACCCGCTGTGGAGACTCCGGGAGGACGTGGGGCCGCGTCCACGCTGACGGCAGCCGGGCCTCCTCAGGACCCGCTGTGGAGACCCCGGGAGGACGTGGGGCCGCGTCCACGCTGACGGGAGTCCGGGCCGCGTCAGGACCCGCTGTGGAGACCCCGGGAGGACGTGGGGCCGCGTCCACGCTGACGGAAGCCGGGCCTCCTCCGGAGCCGCTGTGGAGACATCGGGAGGACGTGGGTCCGCGTCCACGCTGACAGGAGTCCGGCCTCGTCAGGACCCGCTGTGGAGACTCCGGGAGGACGTGGGGCCGCGTCCACGCTGACAGGAGTCCGGCCTCATCAGGACCTGCTGTGGGGACTTCGGGAGGACGTGGGGCCGCGTCCACGCTGACGGGAGCCGGGCCTCCTCAGGACCCGCTGTGGAGACTCCGGGAGGACGTGGGGCCGCGTCCACGCTGACAGGAGTCCGGCCGCGTCAGGACCCCCCGGGAGTAGAAGGTGAGGAGAAGCCGCCTGAGCGGGGACTGCGGGGGGGGGGGCGGGGTGCGAGCTCCCGGAACCCCGCTGGGGAAGGGCGCGCTGTGTAGATGCGGGGCTTTGTGTGCGCTGCCGTGGGGTCCCGCGCGGGGCTGGGCGCGGGGCTGGCGGGTCTCCCCTTCCTGAGCTCGGATCTGCTCCGAGGTCCCGGGGTCTGTGTTTCTGGGCCACTCGGATTCGGTTCCTGGGGCTGCTCAGACAGTCTGCAGGCAGGGAGGGGACACCCGCCGCGGGGCTCGGGCTCCTTCCCGCGTCCACGCGGTCAGGATCTGGGTGGGGCTCCGGCTCCGGCAGGGAGGTTGGCGGTTCTGCTTCTCTGGGAGGTGCTGACGTGGGTGTTCGGAAGAGTCACCGACTGCGGCGAGCCTGTCCCAGCGGCACAAACGCTCGGTCTCCGCACTCAGGCCCCCAGCTGTCGTTGGCTCAGCACATTCACCACCTCACACGGGGCGCTTGGGTGCCTTGGACCCCGAACAGGGACGCCGTCCCGCGGAACCGGCACAAGACCCTAAGTGCGGAGATCATCCCGGTGTCCACACTGTAACCCAGCCCGCAGGCCCGCTTCCACGGTCACCACCTGCCCCACTGTCTGAAGCGTCCTTTTCCCCTCGCGTCCGGTTTTCTTCCTCTGGAACTGCTCCCGACACGTTGCCTTATGCGGGTAACCTTGGCGGATGTAAAGAGCAAGCTGGTTGCAATCTGGCCTTTCCTGTCTGGCTTCTGTCCCTGCGGCTGTTTTCAGTGTCCACCCACGCTGTGACCTGCCTCAGTCCCTCATTCATCTTTTCACTGTGACTAAACATAATAATATCGACCACTTACAACATTGCAGGTGCACAGTTCTCTGGCCTCAGCCGAGTTGCGCGGTTGTCCCTCATTCTCCAGCACTCTTTCCTTCTCCGCGAGGGGGACTCTGTGCCTGAGACGCCAGCTCCCCATTGCCCTTCCCCTCAGCCCCTGCAGCCACATTCTACTTCGTGTCTCAGGATACTTCCTGTAAGTGGGATCACACAGTGTCTGTCCTCCTGTGACTGGCTGATTTCACTCAGCGAAGCGACTTCCAGGGTCAATCCGCATTGCAGCCTGTGTCAGAACTCCCTTCGTTTTTAAGGCGGAATCGAGTTCCACACTGTATATGCCACATTTTGTCTATCCATTCATCCGTCAGCGGGCACTTGGGTTGCTTCCACCTTTTGGCTGTTGTGAAAATTGCTGCTCTGAATAAGGGTACTTGTACTTTCAGTTTTGGGGGGCATATAGGCTGCAGTGGAATTCTGCGTTCAATATTTTGAGGAGCCACCCTATTTTTTTCTACAAATGAACCATTTTTCTTCATTCCTTCATAGGGCAGAACAAGATTGCCAGTTATGGATCTACCTCATTTTGTTTATCCTTTCCCCATTGATGGACATTTGCATAGTTTCTGGGTTTTGCCTATTGTGAACACTGCTGCTACGAATATTTCTGTACATTTTTGTTTGTATCAGTGTTTTCAATTTTGGGGGTATACACCTAGGAGTGTAATTTTTGAACCATATGGTAATTCTACTTTGACCTATTTGAGTAAATGCCAAAATATTTTATACGTAGACTCACCATTTTTCACAAGCAAGGTGTAAGGGTTTCAGTTTCTCAACATCCTTTCCAAAATCTGTTATTTTAGTTTTCTTGATTATAGCGATTCTATCGTGTGTAAAAGGACATCTAACTGGTTTAAATCTTCATTTGCATAAAGACTAAGGATGCTTAACATCTATTCATGTGCTGTTCACCATTTGTATGATTTCTTTGGAGGAAGGTCTATCCAAGTCTTTTGTCTATTTTAAAAAATGGGTCGTCTTTTTGCTGAGGAGTTGTAAAAGCTCTTTACATACTCTGGGCAACAGACTCTTATTAGATAAATAATGTACAAATATTTTCTTCCATTCTGGGGGCTTTCTTTTCACTTTCCAGATAGTATCTTATGATGTACAGATTTTTATTTTTTTTTACATTTCTTTTTTAAGAGTGAGTGAGAGAGAGTGTGCAAGTGGTCAGGGGCAGAGGGAGAAGGAGAGAGAATCTTAAGCAGGGCCCATACTCAGTGTGGAGCCTGACATGGTCTTGATCTCATGACCCTGAGATCATGATCTGAGCCAAAATTAAGAGTCGGACGCTTAACCAACTGAGCCACCCAGGCACCCAGAACAGATTTTTAATTTTGAGGATATTATTTTATCTATTTTTTCCTTTCCTTTCTTATGCTTTGGTGTCAGATCTAAAAGCATTGCTAGATCCAAGCTTATGAAGATTTATCCCCATTTATTTCTTCTAGAGTTTATAGTTTTACCTCTTACATTTAAGCCTTTAATTTATTTTGAGTTAATGTTTATATGTGGTGTGAGGTAAGGGTCCAGTTTCATCTCTCTGTACATGGATAGTCAATTGTCTAGCACCCTTTGTTGAAAAGACCATTCTCTCCCCCAGTGTAATGTTGCCACCCTTGTCAAAATTCAGTGGAGCATAGATGAAGGGGTTTATTTCTGGGCTGTCAGTGAAATCCCACTGATCTGTATGCATATCTTTTTAAAAAAACTATTTTATTTATTTATTTTAAAAAACGTTTTAAATTTAAATTCAACTAATTAACGTATAATGTATTATTTGTTTCAGGGTGAATGCTACCTTTATGACAGTATCACAATGTTTTATTTACTGTTGCTTTTTATTAATATTTGAACTTTGGAAGTATGACCTTTCACCTTTGATTTTGTTTTTCAAGATTGTTTTGTCTATTTTGTGGTCCCTTGAAATTCCATATGACTGTTAGGATTAGCTTGTGCATTTCTTTCCAAAGGCCTTTGTGAATTTCCTCGGGAACACATTGAATTTCCACATTGCATTGTGTACTATTGCCATCTTATCAATAGTATGTCTTTTCATCACCATGGGGTCCTCAGATTTATTTAGGTTTCCCTTTCTTTCAGCAATGTTTTGTAATTTTCAGTGTACAAGCCTTGCACCTTGATTACATCTATTCCTGAGTATTTTGTCAATGTTAATGTTCCCTAAAATGGAATTGTTTTCTTAAATTATTTTTTGGATGATTCATGGCTAATGTATACAAATAAGAGAGATTTTTGTGTGTTGATATTAACTGGCTGTAATCATTTTTTGTTGATTGTTTAGGAAGCTCTCTATATAAGATGATGTCATCTCTGGTCTCTGAATAGACGTAGTTCTACTGTTTTCTTTCACATGTGGATTTCTTGCCTTATCATTCTGCGTAGAACTTCCAGTACGATACTGAGCAATGAGTGAAAGCCAGCATGATGGACTTGTTTGTGATTTCAGAGTAGAGCTGTCAGTCCTCTAAATTGAGCATGATGTTTGATTAGAGTTAGGGTTGGGTTAGGGGATAGGGTTAGGGTTAAGGGTTCGGGTAGTTGACCCTGTGACCCATGCAGCCCCACAGTCAGCATGTTGGAGCCAGGAACACTCCCCCTGTGCTGAGCTCGGGGGCAAACCCTGCGGGTCCCCTCCCCTGGCTGACCCCCTGAAGGTTCTGTCCCCACCTGCCATGAGTTGGAAGTCCCCACAACCTCCTCTTCAGGTTTGAATAATCTGCTCCAGTGGCTCATGGAACTCAGAGAAACATGTGTGATTCTTGGGCACAGCCATGAATCTCAGCTTCTTCATGATGGGGGGCAGCCCAGCAGCTGAGTGACCATGCAGGGCTGCCTCAGCTTTTATTTCATTTTTTTATCAGAAAAGCAAGGGCAGTTGCCTCAAAGCGTGGGAAAGGAGGACAAAGGGATGGCAAGTATCCTGAAGCAGTAAAGCAGTCCTGTACCCTCCCCTAGGGGCAGGCACGCAGGGAGGCAGTCATGGGATAAGGGAAAAGCAAGATGTTTGTGCTCGCAAGCACCAGGTGCAGAAAGGGGAACTGAGGGTTACATTCTTTCCTAGCTCCTAACCTGTGCCCTGCCCCTGGGGATCATGGGATCCTGCTCCTACTGGGCCCTTGCGTTCAATAGTCTGAGAACAGGAACGCTGTTGACCTTTCAGCTGCTTCCACAATCACTCCTGAGGGCTTACAATATATTTTCTAAGAATAATTCCACACTTCCTCCGTGAGGTGGACTACCTGGTATGCACAGAGGTGGATATGAAGTTCTGCGACCACGTGAGTATGGAGATCCTGTCCCCCCTCTTCGGCACCCTGCACCCCGCTTTCTACCAGGCAGCCCACAAGGACTTCAGCTACGAGCATTGGCCACAGTCCCAGGCACACATCCCCAGGGACAAGGGCGACTTTTCCTACATGAGGACCTTTTTTGGGGGGTCGGTGGTAGAGGTTCACCAACTGACCTTGGCCTGTCACCAGGCAATGGGGGTCAACCTGGCCACTGGGATTGAGGCTGTGTGGCACAATGAGAGCCACCTGAACAGGTACTTGCTGGACCATAAGCCCATTAAGGTGCTGTCCCCAGAGGACCCGTGGGACCCTCAGCTGCTGGGCTGTCCCCGAGAGGACCTGTGGGACCCACAGCTGCTGGGCTGCCCCTGGAGGACCTGTGGGATCCACAGCTGCTGGGCTGCGCCCCATCATGAAGAACCTGAGATTCATGGCTGTGCCCAAGAATCACCAGGACATCAGCAGTGGTTATTACTTGAGGAGTCATTTTGGTGCCCACCGGGTCTTTCACTTGAGTTAACAGATGAGCCCGAAGGAAGGACGTCATCAGTTAGGAAGTACAGACGAAGGTCAGAGTGGAGTTGGGCAAAGGCCTCTTTAACTCAGAGAGCGGGGGAGCCCCAAGCTTCTTCTACACACCTTGCCCTGCTCATCGATTCCAGCTGCCTGGCTCTGAGTTCTGTCCTTTTAATGAACTGGTCATCTAGTAAGTAACATGTTTCTCTGAGTTCCATGAGCCACTGGAGCAGATTATTCAAACCTGAAGAGGAGGTTGTGGGGACTTCCAGTCTGTAGCCCATAGCTCGGAAACAGGGGTGACCTCTCTGCCCAGCCACTGGCTGACCACTGAGTTAACAGCACAGGGATTCAGTGGCCACACACAGCAAAGAATACAGACTTGACAAAGTGAGTTCAGAAAAGTCACTAAGCCAACAGTAGCAACTACAACGAGCAGCAATCATGAAGCCTGGAGTGGGGAAGGTCTGATGTTCAGGATGCTTCCATTATAATATTCATAATCACACCCTGGACTTGTCACTGGGGCCAAGTCCCCCGGCTGGGGGTCAGGTAGCTCCTACATGTTCCATGTGCCTCTCTCTGGCTCCCCCACCCGTGCACAGTCCTATGCTGCTTCCCAGCAGAGGTCGGTTTTAACCAAAGCCAGGAAGATGGGATGGGTTTTCCTGACTCCCCACCCCCTGCCCCACAGGGCTGCAAGAGAGGAAAAAGTTTTCCTCAACCCTGTTAAGGTCCCCGGCTGAGTCTGGAAATTGACACAGACAGATGAACAGGAGAAAAGCAAGCAGAATGTCTTGATTGCTTTGGTGGGAGCCTCACAAGACCATGAAGACCAGCAGAGGTGACTGGAGCAGACAGCTCTTCTACCTTTTAGACAAAGAAGCAGTAAGTGTGTGAAGAATTGACAGACGCAGGGGTTTGGACTAGGGCTCGTAAACGGTAAAGAAGTAACTAGGAAGATAAGGGTTAGTTTAACCAGGTGTGTGTGTATAGACCCCGTGGTCCTAAATTCCTTGACTCTGGTGATAAGCACGTCATCTCTGTGGTCCGGGGCGAGAAAGTTCCACATGGCAGTCTTCTGACCTGCTTAAGGGAAAAAGGGCTGATGGCTGGGGGTCAGAGAGACCTTCTTGCTTTGCTCTATGCAAAAGTTCTTTTAGCTTCTGTATTTATTTTGCCAAGGTTCCGTATTTGGGGTCGTGTGTCCTGACCCTCACTGGCCTGGTGCTGTACTCTGTCTCCTAGTATCCAGGACATTGGATGTGCTGCTGTGGAGACCTTCCAGCCCTGGGGTAGCCCCTTGTCCAGGGAGGCACCTGCCTCAAGGGGAGGGTCGCTAAGGGTGGCCGCCCCTCCTCAGGGAGATTGGGTGGGAGAATGCAGATCTTACTTCGAGAAACTGACTTTATTTCCTGAAAAGGTCTACCTGATAGTGGGATCATACGGGAGTTCTATTTTTAGTATTTTGGGGAAGCTTCATCCTTTTCCCAGCATGGGTGTGCCAACCAAAGTCAATTCCAGATGATTTTTACCTATAAACCAGAGATTTTGGAAGAACCTCTCCAGCAGAGAACATCAGGAGAACAGTTTCAAGACCTTAGACAGGCAGAGATTTCCCAGGATGCAAAATATACTAACCGTAGGAACAAACCGGTGACTGAGAAACTATGAAATGAAGAACTGGTTCTCCTTCTTCCATTTCTGGCTAGTGTGCTGGTCTGTGGCTCGATCTCACCTCAGGCAGCTGAAAGGTTGACCTCCCAGGTCAGCTACCACTGAGATGGCTACTGTTTCTAGAAATTCTTCGGGGTGTGGCCGGTTTTCCCCACCTGTGCACTGATCAAGTCGGCGACCTCGGACAGTGGAGCCACGGGTCCTCCAGGCATGGTTCCCCCCCAATGCCCCAGTAAAGCCATTCCACTGAGGGTTTAGGGGGACCGGAGCTGCCCCTAGGCAAAAACACCAGAGATTCTCACTGTCCCTACCTGGCCTACAGATGCTCCTCAGTTACTCCTGTGCCTCTGGTGTCTTCCTGGAACCCTGACCTGGCTGTTTTTGGACAGTTTGTCCAGTGGGACCCTCACTTTCTGATAGGGGGATTTGCTGGAATCCGGAGTGTGTCCTGCAGCCCCACCGGGATCACCTTTTGAAGGCACGTCGCCTGGGTCATCTGAGGACTCAAGACTGTGGGTCTGTGGCTTGGAGGGTTTCTGAGCAGCGGGTGGGATTCTGAGCGCTGGTGGGATGGGAGGGCTGCAAGGCCCAGAGGCAGGTCTCCAGAAAGCTGTCTGGGGTCCCCGGCATCCTGCCGTTTTTGAATCAAAGCCCTGAGATCTTTAAAATGCCAGCAACGTTACAGCATGGGCTAGAAAAGCAAATGTCCCTGTGCAGACAACACCACCTAAACTATTGGCCATTTCTTTCACTTGAGTTGAGTAGAAAGGATTGGGAGTCAGGGCTTGAGGGGGGTCCTGGATCAGACTTTGTGTTTGGGGGACAAAGGTCATCCGGACAAGCTTGTGCTGAGGCTGAGGAGGGGGTCTGTGTGGAGACACCAGCTGCAGGCACTGCTGTCCCCTGATGCCCCCTCAGCCTGCCCAAGTGCACCTGCTGCTGGGGGAGAGCCTGCCCCCTCTTCTCTGCCTGAGGCCTCTGTCCTGCACCAGGTGCGCCTCCTCTTCTGCCAGCCACTGCCAGCCTGCAGTCTGGGAGGGTGGCTACCCCGAGTTCCTGCAGCTGCTGGGGGAGCGCCTGCCCCCTCCTCTCTGCCTGAGGGCTGTCTCCTGCACCAGGTGCCTCCTCCCCTGCCAGTCACTGCCAGCCTGCAGCATGGGAGGGTGGATACCCTGAAAACCTCCAGCCCTGTGGACAGAGTCAGTGCAATGTGGTCTCCCAGCAGGTCTGAGCACCAGGCCCCCACATTGCTCACTCTCGTCCTATGGGCTCAATGTGCCACATCCTCCCTCAGGCTCCCTGGGTCCGAGTCCTCCTCTGCTCGTGGACCATCCTTGGCCCAGGCTCCACACCCTCGGACTGGGAGCGGGTCATCTGGACGTTCTGGACTCTCGCTTCTGTTCCCGTGACACGGGCACAGGCCGGCCTCACAGACTGCTCAGAGGAGACTCAGCACAGGACGATGCCGGTCGCTGTAAGGGGAGATGCCAAGTGACCCCAGAGGGAGCGCACAGGCCTTGCAGAAGGCACTGGGCTCATGGGGCTCAGTGTGGGATGCGGGCGCCCAGCCAAGGGGCATGGGGAATCCTGGTGAGGGCGGCCCTGGCAAGTGGGGGAGGGGGAAGCCACAGAAGGGTCTCAGAAGAGGCAGGAGACAAGGAAGAGGACAGGACAGAGCTTCCCAAGGAGGTCGATGGAAGGATCAAAGGATCACAGAGACCCTTGGGGAAACTCGGAGGCCCTGGAGATGTTGGCTGAAATGCTGTCATTTGGTCAGAAAAATTGTGTCACAACTCCCCAGTTGACACTGGATGATTTGCTCTTTGTTGGTTCTAGGAATCAGTGCGTACCTGCCATTAGAAC